CACTCACCCAGGGTACAGTGGATTTGGTCTCCCCTTTGAGTCTGTGGCACACTCATTTAGGGTACAGTGGATTTGACATCCCCATTGAGTCTGTGGTAACACTCACCCAGCGGTACCAGTGGATTTGACCTCCCAATTGAGTCTGTTACACACTCACCCAGGGTACAGTGGATTTGACATCCCCATTGAGTCTGTGGCACACTCACCCAGGGTACAGTGGATTTGGTCTCCCAATTGAGTCTGTGGCACACTCACCCAGGGTACAGTGGATTTGACATCCCCATTGAGTCTGTGGTACACTCACCCAGGGTACAGTGGATTTGGTCTCCCCTTTGAGTCTGTGACTCACTCACCCAGGGTACAGTGGATTTGACCTCCCCATTGAGTCTGTGGCACCCTCACCCAGGGTACCGTGGATTTGGTCTCCCCTTTGAGTCTGTGGCACACTTATTTAGGGTACAGTGGATTTGACCTCCCAATTGAGTCTGTGACACACTCACGCACAGGGTACGGTGGATTTGACCTCCTCAATGAGTCTGTGACACACTCACTCAGGGTACAGTGGATTTGGCCTACCCATTGAGTCTGTGGCACACTCACCCAGGGTACAGTGAATTTGGCCTACCCAGCATTGAGTCTGTGGCACACTCACCCAGGGTACAGTGGCTTTGGCCTCCAAATTGAGTCTGTGGCACACTCACACAGGGTACAGTGGATTTGACCTCCCAATTGAGTCTGTGGCACACTCACACAGGGTACAGTGGATTTGACCTTCCCATTGAGTCTGTGGCACACTCACCCAGGGTACAGTGGATTTGACATCTCCATTGAGTCTGTGGTACACTCACACAGGGTAAAGTGGCGTTGGCCTCCCATTGAGTCAGTGGCACACTCACCCTGGGTACAGTGGATTTGACCTTCCCATTGAGTCTGTGGCACACTCACCCAGGGTACAGTGGATTTGGCCTCCCAATTGAGTCTGTGACACACTCACCCAGGTACAGTGGATTTGACCTCCCAATTGAGTCTGTGACACACTCACCCAGGGTACAGTGGATTTGGTCTCCCAATTGAGTCTGTGACACACTCACATAGGGTACAGTGGGTTTGACCTTCCCATTGAGTCTGTGGCACACTCAACCAGGGTACAGTGGATTTGGCCTACCCATTGAGTCTGTGGCACACTCACCCAGGGTACAGTGGATTTGGCCTACCCAAGCATTGAGTCTGTGGCACACTCACCCAGGGTACAGTGGATTTGGCCTACCCAGCATTGAGTCTGTGGCACACTCATACAGGGTACAGTGGATTTGGCCTCCCAATTGAGTCTGTGACACACTCACCCAGGGTACAGTGGATTTGACCTCCCAATTGAGTCTGTGGCACACTCACGCACAGGGTACGGTGGATTTGACCTCCCCATTGAGTCTAGCTGTGACACACTCACTCAGGGTACAGTGGATTTGACCTCCTCATTGAGTCTGTGGCACACTCACCCAGGGTACAGTGGATTTGACATCCCCATTGAGTCTGTGGCACACTCACCCAGGGTACAGTGGATTTGACCTTCCCAATTGAATCT